CCAGTGCCTCCTGGCAGTGCAACCGGCATAAACAGACGGTCCCGGCCCGGTCAAAAAAAAAAATAAAAAAATAAAAAAAATAATAATTAAAAAAAAATCTACATATGCAGGAATATGCTGGAAACTCCAGGTCTCCGGGGCTCGCTGACATCTGATGGTGAAAGATGACCTGGCTGGCGGCTCTTAAACGCAATGCTTACAAATTCTGCAGAACCAACAGGTAAATAAATACGAGTGAGTACGGGGAAAACGTCTGTATTGTAGTTAAAACGGCAGCAGAACTTCAGCCTGTCCGTGCTGTCGTAGCTCCTGCGCTAGCTGAAGAGCAGCCCTTGCCCTACTAGTAGGTCTCTCCTTCCCTAGCTTTTGCTCAACGCACTGCGATTGGGAAACCAACTCTGTATTTAAATTATTGGGTTTGAATCTTTTTTGATCAGATGGGTTCCACAGTGAGAAACTAACATTACAAGAATACAGTTGCGTGATCTGGCAGTCCAAGTAAGTTCAGAGGGGGCTCTGGGAGAGCTTTAGTGCATTGATGCAGAGTCATACTGACTGATACGACACTATTTTTGACTTTGTAAAATAAAAATCTATAACATTAATTCTTGTCACAGCAATAGATTCGACTTTGGCCAAGATGGTCTTTGTTTCTCACACATTTTACTCTTAATTCTACGTTTCAGGACCTAAACTTTTCAAGGTAAACCAAAACGCCATACAGTCATAGTATAAATTATGGTATCAAGCTGTATTCTGCTGATATTAAGAAGTAAGCTGCAAAATTAAACTAATTTACCATTGTCTAGTCTTTTGCCGAATTAAGCTTATTTTCAGTTCCTCTCCTCCGAAGTCTCAGAAGTGAGATACCAAACTACTGCCAGCCCTCTGAATATTTAACGAGCACTAAGCCAGAAGTCTGTATGTAGTAAAATTAGCATGTATAACAAACATTATATTTTTTTTTAATACCAGCATGGGATACCAACACTTATTTGAAAGAAGTTTAAACAATTTCACAAAAGAGGTTGCTCTGCCATTATCTGATCATTCACCCACAGAGACAAGTAAACATTGATGCTATGTCTACAAGCTAATCAGAATGCAAAAAGATCAGAATCAAACAAAGCTCTCCTCAAAAAAAGTATAAATAATCTTATAGAGAAGAGGATAAAAATTGAGACAGGCGTTTAGAAGAAACATTTGACTCTGCTCCAGCCCAGCAGATGCTTCTGGTCTTTCATTCCAAAGATGTAACCATCTATCAGCACACTGGTTTGATACTTTAGAAGACAATGTGAACACTCCAAATTTGGTTTCCATAATGGCTTACAAAGATAACTGTTAAATATATAGCATTAGCTTTTACGGGTAATAGGTAGTAATATCAGAATATTTCATCTTTAGACTTCAGGTTTATCCTCTTGCTCTTTGAAATTATAACACAAGAGATTCAAAATATAGATTTTCCAGTTTTCCTTCTTCAACTGAATTTTGATTGAATTTAGCTAGCAGCTATCAAGAGTTAAGTACGCTGAAATTCCATAGTTACCTAGAACGTGGTCTGTCAGTGACTTCAAGGACTGGCTGGTTGAACTGTCTCTCTTCGGCAATAGATCAGCAAAAGGCAACACTGACATGCCTCCAACCTAGAAAAATTAAGTCGTTTTCCATTAACTCCTCCATGCATATATTGTTTTGTCTGCAGGTGTCTTTCCTATAACTGTTACAAAATGTATTAAATTCTAGAAGAAAGTTCTTGTCTTTTTCAGTGAAGCATGTCCACTGCATAGGTTGTTTCTTAAAAAAAAAAGTCATCACTTCTTTCATGTCTTACATGAAGTTGCCCTTAAATCTAGTCCATCAGAGGAAAAATGTTGTCTTTATTCTGATTTTCAAATCAAGAAAGCAAGCTTTGGTCACTTCACAATGAATACTAGTCAGATGCTGTCATATTTGTCCTGAGTTTGTGAGATGCAGAAAATCAGATCAGAGCCATGCCCAGAATCTCTTTCTTTCCCCCTTTTCTCCCCTTGCCCACCCACTGCCTTTTTTTTTCAGCAATTCAGGTTTGGAAGAATAAATTCCACTGTTACAATCACTCAGAGACAAACCGAACGCCAAGTGAAATATTATTCTCCCCAATCTGACAAGAAAACTTATAGGATGGAAACACCCAGAAGATTAAACCCACTTCATTTGTATTATGCTCCAAAAAACATTACTTGCCACTTTACCTATGCTCCCAGAATACACACGGCAATTGCTGTGGCAATTGACAGTTTCCAGTTTTCCAGATGATGAGCTGTGACTCAGTACTCCTACTGATATAGCTCAATGCACCATCCATTTGCTTTATGTGGCGGTAAATCAAGTCTCCCTTTCCTTCCTCCAGAAAGTGTTAAACACAGTTTTGTGCCTGCTTGTCTAATCTACCACATGACGCTCT